CAGGCCAGCCCTTCTTGTCCTGGAAATACTTTGATTCCTGCCCATCGTGTTAAAGCTTATATTTAACAACATCAACATGTTGGCAGCCAAAGTACATGGCTTGAAACTGAAAATGGACCCCCAGACAGAGTTATTAAATTAACAGACTGGCAAGCCAAGAATGGGTAAGATTCTGCACAGAGCCTTACCAACCTAAGACATAAGTGCATTGCTTTTGATAATGCATATTCCATGACAGGTAAGGAAGGCATTCTTGTCAGAATGACCTAAGACAGGCTCAGTCTTGTTAATGAAATAAGAAAGGGGGAGAGGTGGAGAGCCTTTGGAGCTGCTTAGCAATAAACTGACATGGGCCAAGGACAAGGAAATGGGCTGCTTGGCAGGAATATGACATTGGCCAAGAACAAGGAAATAGGCTTCAAGCAGGAATCTAACATTAGATTAGAACAAAGAAGTAATGTCAGGTAGGAATCTAAATCTTAGGCTACAACAAAGAAGTAATCTCAGGCAGGAATCTAAATATTAGACTAGAACAAAGAAGAAATTTCAGACAGGAATCTAAATTTTAGGCTAGAGCAAGGGAGTAGGCTTCAGACATGAAAATGCCCTTGGGCTAGGATCGGGAAGTAGGCTCAGATACTTTGGTCGTCCTGATAAACCTTTAGAAACAGTGATCACAGGAATGTTCACATAATTGGGTTTAATGCCTTGCTTTTTTTTTTTGACTATTTGTGTTTATTGTATTGCTTGTTCCTTGACTATTTGCATCTATTGTATTGCTAGTTCCTCAACCTAGAATTGACCTTAATACTTGCATGTAGTTAAAATGGTATAAAAGCAAAAAGGAGGAAGGGGGATGGGACAGGGGGGTTCTAGGGAGGGAAAATGGTGAAAGCAGAGAATATCTGAAATAAATAAAATATCCAATTAAAAAAAAGAAAATATCATCCTGAGTGAGGTAACCCAATCATAAAAGAACACACACTTACTGATATGTGAATATTAGCCCAAAATATTAGCCCAAAAGCTTGGGATACCCAACATACAGTTCACTTTCCATATGAAACTCAAGAAGAAGGAAGACCAAAGTGTGGGTGCTTCAGTCCTTCTTAGAAGGGGGAACAAAATACTCACAGGAGCAAATACAAAGGCAAAGTGTGGAGCAGAGACTGAAGGAAAGGCCATCCAGAGACTGCCCCACCTGGGGATCCATCCCATATACAGTCACCAAACACAAACACTATTGTGGATGCCAAGAAGTGCATGCTGACAGGAGCCTGATCTAGCTGTCTCCTGAGAGGCCTTGCCAGAGCCTGAAAAATACAGAGGAGATGCTCATAGCCAACCATTTGACTGAGCACAGGGTCCTCAAATGGAGGAGTTAGAGAAAGGACTGAAGGAGATGAAGGGGTTTGTAACTCCATAGGAAGAACAACAATATCAACCAACTAGATCCCCCAGAGCTCCCAGGGACTAAATCACCAACCAAGGAGTACACATGGAGGGACTCATGGCTCCAGCTGCATATATAGCAGAGGATGGCCTTGTCAGGCTTCAATGGAAGGAGAGGCCCTTGGTCCTGTGAAGGCTCAATACCCCAGTGTAGGGGAATTTGAGGGTGGAATGGGTGGATGGATGAGGGAACACCCTCATAGAAGCAGGGGGAGGGAATGGGATAGGAGGTTTCAGGGGGATCAAGAAAGGGCATAACATTTGAAATGTAAATAAAGAAAATGTCCAATAAGAAATATTAATTTTTTAAAATAGAGTAAAGGAAGCCTGTCCTTTCCAGCCTTCAGTCTCCCTCTATTGCCCCCTGACAAAAATTATTAGGAAACCTACTGTCAAAGAATTAGTTTGTAAGATGCAAGTTCCAGTCATAAGCCAGAGTTCAGAAAGATAGCTCTGTAGAGGAATAATTGTAAGACTATTATAAGATTAAATGAGTGACTACAGGTGCTCTGACTTACAATTGGCTTAAAACCTGTAAGTCCATTTTGAGTTAGAAATATTATGAGTTGAAAATATGTTCTCTATACCTAGAGAGCTTAACAGCCAGAGCACTGCCGAGCACCAGTTGTTTATCCTCATGGTTGTGCATTTGGGAAACAACTTACTGCTACTAGCCAGCATGAGGAAAGTGAATTCTACATCTGCACAGCCTGGGAAATGAGAGAAATTAGAAGTACAGTTTCCATGGAACTACTTTACAATTTCTAAATCACAAGTGGAGCACTTAAGTGTGCTTGGCATCATGCCAATGCATCATAAAGTGCTTTAAATAAGCAAATAGATCCACCAGAAAAACTTCTAGAAATAATAGTAGGATCTTAGTTTTTTCACTAAAATAGTGAGATTGTAAAGGTCAGTTAAAATGCTCAAGGTCACATGAACTATTCACTAGTGGAACCCAGTCCATTGGAAGCCAAAACTGTTTGCCTTCGTGAGCCTCTCAGAGGTTCTGAGAAGACAGGCATATAAATAAAGCCCTTGCAAGAAAGACTGGTTTAATGATGTAGTAGATATACTTGGGGGCATTTGGGGATCATAAAGGAGGAAGATGAGCCGCTGATTTTGAAAGACTTTGTGGAGAAGAAGGGGGAGAGAGGCCTTGCCTGATAGATTTCCAAAGCAAATTCAACAAGCTGGATGTATTTTCTGTGCTAACCAGGCATTGACCCAGATACTGAAGGTGCAAAGATATTTAAATGGTTGTTTCAATCTTTTTAACAAGGTTTTAATTTATTCTTTGGGAATATCATACAATACAATTGATCATATTCATCTTGCTCCCCAAATTGTTCCCAGATCCTAACCCTCCTTCCTACTTTATGTTTTGCCCTGTCTCAAAACAAATAAACAAATAAACAAACCTCATGGAATTCAATCTGTGTTGGCCAACTGGTCAACTACTCCTGGGCATGGGACTGCCCTGGAGAGTGACTCATATACTAAATATCACTCCATTAAAGAAAACTGACATTCCTTCACCCAGAACAGTTGAATATAAATCATTCCAGCTGAGAACTGAAGAGAGAGGCTTCAGGATAAGGCATTCATTCCCATCACTCCTGAGAAGATGGAATCCTGAGGCCAGTCAGGAGGACCCTGACAGCAGCATCATGCCAGCCTCGCAGTTGAGACCTGAGAACTGGATGCAGTTTGAAAATGAGTCTGAGAGAACCACACCATCTGTCTGGCAGCCATTCTGAGCTCTCATGGCCCTGAAGATCAGGAAAGCCAACAACTCACCAAACAACTTTTTTTTTTATTATTGTACAAAGACACGTCAGGCCCTGATGACAAATGGATTTGCAGGCAAAGACCCTAGCCCTGTGAAGCCTATATTGTAAGGGGGAGGCAGACAATAAACCACAAGAGCAGTGAGCTAATAACTGATATGTTCATTTATGTGTAGGTGAGAACCCTTTTCCTATGTATTCCCTGGTGATGGTCAGCACTGAACGGAGTAACTAGAATAATGGCCTCCAAGCTGACATATTAGAGGCAACCTCAGAGATGGGATTCGGCAGTTGTTTGGAAGATTGGAGTATGTCATTCCATGCAAAAGCATTAGCAGATACAAAAGCCTGAGATGGAGGCGGGGAACTGAGCAAGGTGGAGAAATGGAGAGAAGCAAGCGAGAGGAGACCTCAAGGACAGCACACCATGACGTAGGATGAGCATGGGGAGTTGTCAGGAACCAGGCTGTGGTTAACCTAGGCCTCCTGGCGACTTGGATGTTATCCTGTACACAATGCAAAGTATTCCCTTTAGAAGGAGTCTCTTGACTACTGAGTGGAGGAACTACACATTTAAATTCAGGGATAGGTAGACATCAAGGTGTGACCCTAATATCTATGACTGGTTCCATGGAGTTCCTAGAAACCTACTTAGGAAGTGAGGGACTCAGATAAACCGAAGAGAACATTCTGCAAAGCTGGAAATGTTTCGTACCTATGTACATTCACACACCCTCTCAACCAGTTAAAAAAATTTCTTGCTGTAACTGGGGAAATGGATTTTATTTTCTTTATTTGGAGTTTGTGTGTTTATTTATTTTCCTTTTGTTGGATATTTTCTTTATTTACATTTCAAATGTTATCTTCTTTCCAGGTCTCCCCTCCAGAAACCCCCTATCCCATCCCCCCTCTTCCTGCCTCTATGAGGGTGCTCCCCCACCCATCCACTCACTCCTGCCTTCCAGCTCTGGCATTCCCCTACAATGGGGCATCAAACCCCTCAGTATTTTCCTTAGAGTATTACAGCTACCTGTAGCTAATGGTTACTATACTGGACAGCATCCTTGCACAATGCCTTGCTCAATTGGTGGAGGCACGCTGATCCTCAAGTGCTCTCCCCTAGGTGATTTTCAGTCCTCTGGATAGAGTGTGCCAGGGTACCAAACCACAAAAGTCCTGATGTGGGAGGAAACAGCTTCATCTTGTCTTGTTATGAAGAGCCCCCATGCGTATCCTCGAGGGAAGTCTGGTCCCGCGGAAGCAAAGATTTGGGGACTGTTTTTACTGAACGCATCAGTCCCGAGAGCTAACGCTGCCTGTGCTGCGCGGTGCTGCCTTCGGCCAGAGAGTGACAGGGGACAATAGCATCTTGCCCCACCTGCCCTCAGTGGAACTGCATAGACTTCAGCTTCTTCAGTTAGGCAGGTAAGCGGAAGAAGGAGAAACCAAGGCCAACCACATGTACTGAGGGTGCGGGGACCTCTCAGAGAATACTCTCCTGTATGGGGGTAGGGAGGCACGGGCTGTCTCCCGCACATGATCTGCTTTCTGGGCTTGCTTTCGCTTTGCTGGCTGCGGGGTGAGCATCGCAACCAAGCAAGGAGCAGGTGGCCTCGGACAAGGGCGGAGGCTAGCGCCTTGAATCCATCGGGAACCCCTAGCCTCTCCGAGAATACAAGTCCCGGCGCAGGTTCGGCGCCCTACTGGCGCGCAGGACCTGGCTTAACTAGAGGGCACCCCTGACCTTGGTCTCGCCCTGGTTCCAGGTCTGTGCCAGGACGATGGGCGCCGCGCTGGGCACTGGCGCACGGCTGACCTCACTGCCTCGCATAGCCTGCGGCAGTCTTCGGCGCCAGGCACCCTCCGCGCCCGCCCTGGGCTGCCACTCCAAGTCTGGCCCGCCTCGCCCCATACCCCTGAAGAAGCGCGGATACGATGTCACCAGGAACCCCCATCTCAACAAGGTAATGGTCCGGATAGGAAGTTGGATCCTGTGGTTAGCTGGGAAGGACGCCCCGCCCCCTGGGCTTGGGACGAAGCCCATGGCGTCCTTCCAGGGCCCTTCTGGTTTTGTCTAGTGGATATTGCTGTTTGCTTTGGCCTTTTCGTCCCCCTCTTGACATGGAGAGAGGTGATCGGTTTTACTGACCTTAATTTCCTCAGCAAAAACAATACAGACCCAGTGAGTATTTCCGATGGTCCCTCTGACCTAGAGTCAGATTTCCAGCAGATCTTGAGGACAATGCATTTGACCTCCATGAATTAAAAGTATCTGTTAGAGATTTCTTAGGAATGTTGCAAGGTTTAAAAGGAAAAACAGGAAAACGGAGGCAGAATTCTTAGCACTGACTCGAGCACCAATGAGATAATAAGTGTTAGCTAAGGTTATGATGAATATCTGGGAAAAATGAATCCATGAGACAGAAAAGTCTAGAATTAAAGAACTTTTACTACTGGAAGGATAATTAAAGATCTGAATTTAAACCAGTCCTGTAACAGAATTTGGAACAAAGGGGTCTTGGCCAAGTTGACAAATGCAGATCTCTAATGTTTGGCCGTGTTCAGCCCACTGCAGATACCTGCATATTAACCTAGGAATACACCTCCTTCTTATGGCAGTCAAGTTTGTATCTTTGGTTCAGAGGATTGTGGAGAACGGAAGCCAGAAGCCAAGACTAAAGCCAGTCTCCCAACCCCCACAGTTTTTCATATTTAACTAGCAGGCTCAGCGTTCTTCAGTCTAATAATATGAATGAATGATCGATCACCATTCCTACCTCATTTGATTATTGTAAAACATTTCAAAACCACTGGATTTGAACTAACATTTTAAGCTATCATAAGTGCTTGCCAACCAATTACTGCAAATAAAATGTGAATACACCTCACGCAGGAAGTTTTCAAAGATGTTAGTAGTTTCTCTGATTCAAGACAGTGAAATTCCAATGAGGCAACCTCTATGGAAAATGCGATTTTAAAGGATGAAGCCAACCATATGGTGCCACGTATGTTTCCTACAGCATTAATAGGAACTAAGGAAAACATTGTATGCTCAGTGGTCACTTGTCACACTGACCCCTGCTCACCAACAAGACCTTGAGTTCCCAGTACACGGCTCCTTTCCAAAGCATTTAAGGTATTTACCTCTGCTTGAATTGCTTTGGTAGTGCTAGAAGGTGAGAACAGCTTTCAGCAAACAAACAAACAAACATACAAACAAAAATCCCTTTACCAAAACTATATCTAGAGGAAGGGCTACAGGTGAGGCTTGATGAAGAACGTGGAGGTGACTCCTTAATGGTGCAGTCTTGTTTTGGTCTCTTTTCTGGCCTTATGATGGCAGTATCCTTTATGTGAAGTCTGAGTAGGCCACTTCAGACTCTGTAGAGATTCTCTTCCCATTCCCAAGCCAATCACCAGTAACTCAAGCCTCCTGGAGCCCAGAGCCTCCACCCAGAATTGAAGGTAAAGCTTAAGGCAAGTTCATCCCCACCAATCATCTTAGAATAGAAGAGACACTGTTCCCCACAATAAACCCATAAATGTTATAAGAGGGGAGAGAGGGGGACTCTGGTGAGCCAAGAAATATACTACAACTCTAGGTTTCAATTACTTTAACAATTGCCTTAGCTGTATGGGCACATTACCAATTGGTAGTTATTATATTGTGTGTAGTTACAAAAATAACATTTTTTTAGTCCTGGGTTTTGGTCCCCTAAAACAATTCTTGTCCCCTATGTAAATTGTTCGAGTGTTTATCTTCCCAAGTAACAAAAATGGAAGGTCATTCATTAATGTATGTGGCCTGAGATTTTCATAATCCCATACATCATTAAAGATACCTGACACTTGTCAGAGGTAAGGAATATTGTCTGGGATGCTGTTGAAATCCAGTTGCATCCCTCTTCTGCAATAAAAAGTCATCTTCCAGGGAGCTGCTTGAATGCCCTTCTCTTCCATCTGGTGGCCCTTGGCATTTGGTGTTTCCAGAGAAGGCTTCCAGATTTCTCTCAGCTAGATGGGACAATTGTGATGAGGTTAAATGGAACAACAAGGTTATCGGAGAGGAACACTAGGAGGGGGGCAGCTTTGAATGGTCTTTGGTGTTGTGATTAGTGAGCAGGTCTGTGAATAGCCGTTTTCTAGAATGCAAGGTCTTTGTGAGCAAAGACTGAAAGAATGAAGTTCTGGTACCTGTGCCTAGACCACAGTATTGCAGAGAAGCTCTTGGGGATCTAACATTCAGGCTGTCTCTGCATCCATTGTACTGTGTGTTCCATCTGGAGCAGGTCTGGAAAAGGGATTACATTGAAACTGCAGGGTGCAAGAGAAGTGGGGTTGTGTGACAGAGGGTGGGCTTCTTGTTAAGTGGGGCTGCTACTGCTATTGTGTGATCACTGCCTTCTAGATCTAGCTCCGCCATATCCTGGGCATGCTATCTGTGATGGTCTTGTTCGCTTCTCCGTGGCTGATGGAAAGGTCCTCCTGATCTGCTCCTAAATCTAAATGTGAAGCCTCTTGGCATTTGCTTTTTCCCTGTTTCCTTTTGGCAAACTACTACAGTGGCTGACTAGTTTCTTTTCCACAACAAATCTTCATCAACTTGAGGACAGAGACTGACCTATCATATGAACTTCTCTCTGCCTGATTTGACATTCAATAACTATTTGCTCTTGAGTTGTCTTGAGTCATGGTCCTTTCCCCTCAACCCCATTAACATTAACCTGGTAACTTACCAACCCAGTCCTCACACTGACTGCATTCTCATTGACTATGGCCTTTTGTAGAAGCAACATACCTACCACTTGATCCTAATAGTCTAAGATTTTTCAGTCTTTCAGCAAAGTTTGTGTTATTTCCCAGCATCCACCAGCCTCTCTTTGACCTAACACCCGCAGTGGTTTTTTTTTTTTTACACAATATGCAGTTTTTTGATCTTCTGCACCTTATAGCTAAGAAAGTAAATAATGAAATAGATGTTGTAACCATCTATTGATGAATTAAATGGCACATTCCATGCAGTAGGCCCTGAGATATTTCAAGACAGAGGAGAAACAGCCTCCCTCACATGCAAACTTGGCATATTTCAGTCCATGACTATATGAAAGTGATCAACTCTCAGGGCCTGAGATTCTGGGCACAAACAAGCCTCAGTGGAATCACCTCCGCATTCAGACTCCTACATAGATACAAGTTGTTTTTGAGGCACCTGTCTTTTCTTAGTGGCAGCTTACTTTCTCTCCTTGGATGAGGGAAGTGTCTCCTTTATTCACCATTCAGGAGATGGTGGATGGGTTGTTTGGAGAAGTGGAGGTTTATCAGTAATGTGAGTAATATGTTTTCCTAAGACCTGAGTGTCAGATATGATAGACAACCAGGCTTATTGATTGGAAGATAAACAATGGATTACTGACAAAACATGAATTCTATATGCAGTTTACTCCATACCGGAGTCTCTGGCACACTGGTGCAGGGAGTAGAAATGCAAATGCTTTTTGAATATTTCAAGACGAAATGAACAAAAACAGGTTGAAACTCAGTCTTTTCCTGTTGAATACTGGCCTCTCTTCATGGACTTGATATTGCCATGTGGTAAAACAGCTGAGAAATGTTATGACTCTGTGCTTAGGACAGCTAAAAAAAAAAAAAAAAACCCTTGTGTTAAATATGCTAGGTCAGGCCAATCTGACAAAAACACCAAATACACAGGCTTAAACAAGATAGAATTACAAATCCGATAAACAAGTCTGAGTGGGCATTTGTGAGTTGTAATGAGGCTTGATCTTGTTACTCAGTAGTTGTCACTGTGCCTTTTGTATTTGATGGTCCAAAATGGTGACACCTTCTATACCTTTAATTCCACGGAGTCCACAGGCAAGAGGAAACATTGCTTTTAAAAGCAAGGTTTAGAAAATTTAAATATCATTTCTATTCAAATCTACTTGACCCGAATTTAGTAACATGCACATTTAGCTGTAACTTTGGAGGTTGGGGGGGTTAAGTCCTCTGGTTGGACATCCATGTTTTCAGCTAAAAATTCTCTATTAAAGAAGAGGTATTTGGGGAAACTGTCAGAAAATGTTTATCTGAACCTTTCATTCTTTTACTTTGTCAATTTTTCCTCTACCTTTAAAGTCTGTTTCTCTACATCCTCACTAACACCAATTCTGTTCTCACATATCTCCTCAGAGCTAGCTCTTTAAACTAAGCAAACATTCTACCGTTGAGCTATAGATCCAGCCTTCCAGTGTCTAATTTAGGTTCCACTTAGTCAAGGATTCTTGGCTGACATACCTCAGCTATGCAGCCCACAGTTAACAGGCAGAACGAGTGAAGGAGTCAAGTCGTTACCAGAGTTGTTAGAGTCAATGCCGGCTCACTGGTAGCTTGACAAGATAGTTCAGCTCTCTGTATGCAGTAGACCAATTAAAGATGGAAATAATAGTGGGAACTAGAGGAAGGGTATTTATTCAGTATGACTGCATTGGGAAGAGGAACAAATGAATAGATCCAGTGGTATCCTAGTATTCATGCTTCAGATACTGGCCTAAGATTTGGGTTTAGAGAGAGAGGAAGAGTGTATCTCAGCAGCACTGGTCAAGTCATGGTCCTCTCTATTACTGGCTCATCATGAACACATTACTGTCTCCTAGTCCTTGGTCTACCCTGAAAATGGTCAGCCCCGGGTAAATCTCTTGTTAGGAGACAAGCTTCCCTTCTAGCTGGCTCCAGGACCTCAACCTTTTCTGTCCTCAGAATGAATCTTAGAAAATTCCAATTCCTTGGACTCCATTGTCTCTATAGTCTGATCATCCAAGGAAAAGACACAAGTGTCTCACTTTAGAAATTCAGAGTATATTTCCTATCAAGATGGCTACAAACTATGTGAAGCATTCCGAATGACCTCTGAGGGGGTTCTCTAAATTCTTCATTTTCCTTCACATCTCTTTTCACCAAAAGTCCT